TAAAAGGGTGCAGAACAGGAGGTCAATTGAGAGGTTGCGTGTAGTAGGGTAAAGTGTGGGTACTCCTACCTCTTCGAAGATTCTAACTATTACTATTCTTACAAATGTATTATTTTATTTTACCAGGCAAGGCACACTGAGGTATACAGCTCTTTTCAAACGGACGTGGCCACAAATGAAAGCTCAACGAAGTGGCTTATCATGTGCAAATGTATATCAGCCAAATACTCTAAACGCGCATTGATCTTAAATGTGGAGGGAAAAACTGAAGGACGCGGAGAAAAATCTACGCAACCAAGGGTAGAACATGTAAACTCCAAATATAAAGGCGTCAGGGTCGGGATCTAACCCATGACCACCTATATACCAGGCGAGATAGTTAAAATCTTGTCACCGTGGCACCCAAGATGTCTGGCTTCTAAGTGTGGGCCAAAAAAGATGCCTTAGAGATAGAGCTCAATTCATAACCGTTTGATTAGTTCATAATGATTTGATGGCAGGTCATTTATGTATCTCATGGCAAACCAATTTGATCTCCACCCATTGCATAATTAATAGGTGGCCTAGAGAAGCCTCATTAAATTCACCAGCGAATTCTTACAAACCTTCAAGAGGGAATGCAGCCAAGTCGCGATGGACGTCCACAAAAAAAAATCAACCACCAACTCTAAAAGTTTGCCTGCTTTCTAACTTCTGAAATGCGACAACGATCTTGAATGTCACTGCTAAGATCCATAACACACTCACATCTACAGGGGAGCGGTAGTCTAGTAGGGGTTACCGCTGTGCTGTGCTGCGGCCACCAACACTGGTTACGATCACCTGAACCTGTCCTGGGCATCTCCTAGGTCGACTCAGCCTTAAATAAGTACTTGGTGCAGTGTGTAAACATTGCCACTTTGGAGAAAAAAAGCGCCCGGGAGTGGCGCTGGCCACCCACCATCTCGTGTGCCGTGTCGGCCTTCATAGGTGCTCACGAACAGCACTTGCCCCACAAGTATGTTAAGCCTATACAGGGGATCTTTGTCTTCGCGATCCACGGACACAGTTAATTCCCTGCGATCTTTTCCTTCAGTGGCCCAGAGTTAACAGCAGCAAGTACACATTTCCCGGGTAAGTCTGTATAGTCAAACAGCTGACTTCTCGCAAAACAAAGTGGTATCACTCATTTTAATGACCCCAGATGGTTTCCCACTGAAGGGGTTATTATTTGTTTCTATGTGGTGTGTGAGTGCTCGTGTGTTATAAGCATGTAACAGAGGTCCTGGGGGCACAGGTGTCCCCTTGCCAAATCCCATTTGGCGGAGACAGGGAACTGAAAACCCCACCTCAGCAAATCTCTGGAAACCACAGACAGTTGATTTGGAAGGCGATGTGGAAAGTTCAAACGCTCAGGAGGGAGGAAAAGGCTGCCAGTCCACCGTTGGGAACTAAACTCCTTCCGCCGGATGGCGTGCAGACACGGTCAGGCGTGTGTGGCTGTAACCGTGGGCGGTGTGAGCAATGCTCGCGGTGATAACAACACCTGCGTCTGTCCTGTGACTTCCTGCCAGTGAGCCTTTGACATTTGACATGGCCTTACAGGACACCTCGCTTGGCGCAAGGGCTGTTGCCACCGCTGAGTGGAGAACAGCATTAGCTGTCGTCTTGTGTTTCGGTAACGCGAGCCACGCGGCTGAGTGGCGGAGGTTGAGTGCCCAAGACAGCGAGTTCCCCCCCCGACATGCTCCACAATGGTTGCCCCGCAGTGCCAGGGACAGTGGAGGTTGCTCGAGAGGAAACCGCCCTTCCCACGGAGACCACGCCGGGCACAGGGAAGGGAACCACGGAGCCTGCATGGATCAGGGCACACCAGGCGCAAATCCACATGCCGCGAAGGCCCACTTCGAGGAGTCACGGAGTCTCGGAGACTTAGAGGCTTAACCCCCCCCCCCCCGTGCTGGGAGCACTCAGCCAGCCACAAAGGAAGAGGCAACAGCGCAAGCTGAAATGTTTATCACTCCCCAAGTCACCCTGGGCTGTAGTGACACATACATGAGACTGACAGGAGTGCACTTAGAGGAGGGGTGACAGCTTCCTGTAAGCGACAGTGTCAATGCAACTAGAGGGTGTAACGCTGCAAAGACAAAGATCCCCCGTGTAGCGTTTAACAGAGTGTAGGAGCAAGTGCTGTTAGCGAGCACCTATGAAGGCCGACATGGCACACGAGGGGGTAGGTGGCCAGCACCATGCCCGGCCAACTTTGTCTCCCCAGTGGCCATATTTATACATCCCACCAGGTAATTATTTGAGGCTGAGTCGACCTAGGAGAGGCCCAGGAAGGATGTAGATAATCGTCACTGGTGTTGGCTGTGTTCGGGAATCGAACTCAGGTTGCTGGATTCGTAGGGTAGAGGAGCGGACACATTCGCATACACAAACATACACATGGACACACGTCTTCAGAGTACGAGCAAGTGACGCCTGTTATAAGATGGCATAGATGGCAGTATTTACAGCCGCGCAAGGTGTAATCCACGACAAACACAGAATATACTGCTTCAGAATAACCAATCAGTGTCCTCCGTCGGGTTGTTTGTCACCTGTCTGGTTTTCATCCAGACAGTCCCGGAATTGGCATCCGTGCTCGGGTGGTGGCAGGAATTGATATGTACAGATATCTGGTTCCGGGATTGCATTTAACTTTATTACATTAGAATGCACAGTGTTTTTTTTTATATCTGATATATATGTACATAGCGTCTTATTCCAAGGCGCTTTACAACAATTATAAAGTTTAATAATAGGGTTTTTCCCCTTTTTTCTGGCAAAAAAACTGAAACCTTTTTTTTACAAGGATTCATGTCTGCATTAACCACAATACCTGTAGTCAAAATGCAAACAAAAAACATACTATGATAATATATGCATCGCCCTTGAAACTGATTGGTCCACACCAAGGGACGGCTTTCTTTTGATGATGTAGATGCTCACCCCGAGCCCTCATTACTTTGATAGTGCATTGTCTTTGAGCTGTACGCCTTTTAGTGTCATCTGGTCGAGCACCAATTGGATCCAGGCTAAAAAGAAAGCCGTCCCTTGATGTGGACCAATCAGTTTCAAGGACAATGCATATATTATCATAGTATGTTTTTTGTTTGCATTTTGACTGCAGGTATTGTGGTTAATGCAGACATGAATCCTTGTAAAAAGGTTTCAGTTTTGTTGCCAGAAAAAAGGGGAAAAACCCTATTATTACATTTTGGTACTGGCAAAGGAGGTCTAATGATATAAAATTATAAAGTTGTACATAAGATGATAGTGGCCGAAATAAAGAGTGGGGTTATTAAAAGTGGTGGTGTTATTATGGTGGCAGTTAGGATGGATGGGAGTGGTTAAGGAGGGGTTGGGGTAGTGACAGGGGTGGAGATAGGGGTAGTGACAGTTATAGAGGTAGTAACATGTGTTTGGGTAGTGACAAGGGTAGTGATAGGGGCATTGACAGGGGTAGGGGTAGTGATAGGGGTAGTGGTAGGGATAGGGATCGTGAAAAGGGTTGGGGTAGGCCTGGTCGTAGCCGGGGGGCACGTGCACGGAGTAGTTTTAGTAGGACGATGATGGGCGCGGGGAGAAGAGATGGGGGTTGTTTTAAGGGAGGCACAGAAGCTGGTCAGTGAAGATGATTGTTTTATGTGCAGTGGGAGTTTGCTCCAGTGAAGGGGAGCGAGAAGGAAGAAGGAACGAAAGCGAGACTGGACACAGGGCGAGGGAGGCACAGAGAGGGACCGTGGACAATGGGAATGTAGAGGCCGGGATGGGATGCTAGACCGAGCGCCGACCTGAGACATTCGTCTGAGTTTGAACCGTGAACGAGGTGGACAACGCGAGTTTTTTTCCACGGCCACAGCTGTTGTCAACACAAGTCAACAGAAGTAGACCATAATGAGGGTTTTTGGGTTACATTCACTTACACAGCCACTGTCGTTCGCTTTCCTCGATGTGGCGGTGGCTCTTTCCGAGCTCTCTCCAATCTTATATTTACAAACAAATTTCTTACATTGACATGCTAATCTCTCTTACATTGACATGCTAATCGCTCACAATACAATGGCCACTCCCACAGCTTCGTTTGTCAAGATTTCTCCGATCTTACATTTACATGCAAATATCATCTCTAGCCCCACCCACTGACCCTTGGGCTACACCCATCTCAAACCTTTATAACTCCCTGCCTTAGCAGCGCTCCCGCCATATATTGTTCCTGCCTCAGCAGCTCTCCCGCTATATTTTTCACCTGATGACGATTGCTTGTGTTTTGATCGAAACGTCGTGATATTGTTATTATTTAATTAATTGTATTATTTTCTATCTACGTGGCTTTGCCGAAAGACCCAAAGAATAAGGGTTTTTGGGTTAGATCGCGTGTCCTAACCCTCTACCACCCGACACAGCCAGTAAGGTTTGTCACGTAAACAAAACACGCAAATTAGGTACTATTTCAGCCCACCGGTGTGTTGGAGTGTAGATCCACAACATTTACAATTTGAGTACGACGTTTCTCTGGCAATTACGTCCAGCATCATCGGGGAGATTTGCCAGAATAGTGAAGCAATCCACCTGCTTCCGGTCTTAAATAGAGCAAGATGATCGTTAACCACAGTTGATTAGCATGTGTTGCCTTTACAAGGTAGCCCACCACTTACTGTGGCACTTGTGCTTGTTGCATTCCCGGCCCTGTTCAGCATTTCCCGGGCAGAACGACGGGGCGTTTCCAGGCCGGGTAGCAGGGAGGCAAGTGCGGATGCGCAACTGAATACTATTGATTAGCATGTGTTGCCTTTACAAGGTAGCCCACCACTTACTGTGGCACTTGTGCTTGTTGCATTCCCGGCCCTGTTCAGCATTTCCCGGGCAGAACGACGGGGCGCTTCCAGGCCGGGTAGCAGGGAGGCAAGTGCGGATGCGCAACTGAATACTATTGATTAGCATGTGTTGCCTTTACAAGGTAGCCCACCACTTACTGTGGCACTTGTGCTTGTTGCATTCCCGGCCCTGTTCAGCATTTCCCGGGCAGAACGACGGGGCGCTTCCAGGCCGGGTAGCAGGGAGGCAAGTGCGGATGCGCAACTGGATACCGCCCGAGCACGTGCGTGAGCAGGGACTCCACGGGGACCAGGCGCTCCACCCGGCTTCTGCAGGGCCACACGGCACGGGCACGTCAGCGGAGTGTGCACGAAATGAGACGTTCCGAGCAATTCGCGATACGTTTATCGATATTTATAGCAAAGCAAACAGAAAAAAAACCTCACGCACCAAATGTGCCACGTGCCAGCGATAGTTCTGATCGGATGAGCAAACTAAACAGAAAGCTAGACAAATAACAATATCCAGAGGGTATGAATAATTATCGAACGACCATTGCACGGCATTGCTCCTATCGAACAAGGTGATCTGACCCTGAGTCAGAACAACCATTCAAATCTAATCCCTGCAAACTCCGAACACGACAGGGCAGGAAAATCAAGGGGAGAAGCAGTAACACAGCGTTCAGATATTTCATGCCTCACTCTATCAATATGTGCCAATGTACTTATAAATAATATGCTCAAGCAGGAATATGCCAAATCGCCGTCCTGGGAAACAGTGCCAACAGCAGGGAGAGCGACGGAGGGGAAAGCGATATTCTATTCTGTTTTTTAGGGGAAAAGGAATTGGCTTCGAGAACGGATCTGTGGCTGTGCTTGTATTTGTTCAGCCAACATCAGAATCAGAACAATGTATTTATAGTGGAGGAATCTGATGAGCTATAAAGCTCTTTGTGGCATGTCAACAGTGAAGCCTGCCACAGTAAATGTGGAATTTTCAACAATTGATTGTGAGAGCCACTTGCAATTGAACTAATTTGAGCAGTCAAACTTAGTTTGAGGACCACAGCGCACCTCCTCTAGGAAGCTGCTCATGGGTTTTGTGTAATGCACCAAGGGCGAGTGTTTTGCACACGTTCTGTGTGTAGTTGGAACTTACAATCCTCCTGCCTTCACTTTCTTCTGTTGTGATGGGTTTGTCTCGTCATTTACATATCTGATGATTATGAAACGTAAAATCTTGATTTGAAGTTTTTGTGACTGCAGGAATCCATACTCTATGATTTTTTTCTACCTACGTGACTTCACCGAAATAACCAAAGAGTATGAAACGTAAAATATGCCACGTATAATTAGGGGGGTGTAAGACTAAGATTTCATGTGCCTGTAATTAATCTGTAGATGCATTTTAAATAATAAAAAGGTGTGCTCATTAAATGTAAGTACTCTAATAATTTAATAAAATAACAATATGAAGGTGTATTGTAAGATGTTACTGTATCCTTAATAAATTTTGGCCTTCTCGTCACATTTATTTGTCAATGCAGACATACTTGGGATTATTAGAGGGTATCATTTGCAATTACACGCAATTTGATTTGCATTATGCCTGCAAGCACATTGACTTTCGGGCAGGCACCTCATGTTCAATGCTTCCACGAGGATTTTCAGCTTGTAAAAAAAAAGCGAATCTCCAATATCTGAAAATGTTGCTTGATCTGCAAAATATGATTAGCCTCAGGTTTTAACATCGTGCTCCACTGTTTCACATCGTAACTCAGAGCTCGCCGCAGCCTTCGTGATCCACTCCTCAAACACAGCGCAGGCATTCAGCGTACAAGGAGGCTGCGTTTAAATTTTGATTTAAAGCTTTCGTGACTGCAGTAATTCATATCCTTAGTTCTTTCGGTAAAGTCACGTTGAAGGGAAACACTAAAATAATAAAATATATATAAAACAATAAAAATTCTCACGACGTTTCGACCATAACACAAACGGTCGTCATCAGGTGTAAACCGACACACATCAGGTGTAAACCGACACACCTGATAACGACCGTTTGTGTTATGGTCGAAACGTCGTGAGAATTTTTATTGTTTTATATATATTTTATTATTTCATTGTTCCCCTTCAACGTGACTTTACCGAAAGAACTAAGAATATGAGGCTGCGTTTGTTAGAACCTCGTGCAAGATGTTGTCGACTGCGCCGTGGCGGAGAATACCCAGTGCTGGTGAAGTTCATCGAATCGACATTCGTGGACCCACGCGCCACGCACGACTGCATCAGCTCATTCAACAGCCTCTCCAGGACGTGGGCGGCCTACCGGAGTGCATTTCCATATTGTCTGTGCCACTCCACCCCGCCACCGTCCCCTCCTCCCGGTTTTCAAAATCGCAGTGCAAAATGCTCTGCGGTCCCGGCAGCGATTTGCCCAAATACCCCTTGGAATTCTCTCACTTACGTGTAAGATATTTTAAGAACTTCACGTTCTAAAAATGTTACACGTTACACTCTCTCCCCTCGCCAGGCCACCGTTGTGTTGGCGCTCTGCTACATATCTTGACATAGAGTGGTAAAAAGTAAAAAAATGTAAGCAGTGCACGTAAGCTATATGTTGCCAACGTTTTAACCGCACATGTTACACCGCTGTTTGTACGTTATTTAGTAAGGGTGAATAACCTTTATGGACGCCCTAGTTATTTCAACTACTGTTAGAACTCATGAAATTAATAAAAGACACAGCGGGCACCACTAATACCGCATTATTGCCCGCAGTAATGACCGGTACATAGACAGATGCTACATCATGCGTACACCACTTGCAGTGGATATACGTTGATTCTATCATGAACATAAGCATTGCTAAGATTGGTGTACACACCTGTCCAAGACAATTATCTCTAACATGGCTTTTTGAACTCCATTAAAGAGAAAGAATAAAAACTTAATTGGGGTGGCCGGGTGGCTCAAAGGTGAGAGCCAGCAGAGACACCAATGTGGCTGTAATAGGTGGCTTAGGAGACCCTGTCTCCTGAGCTGAGGGATCACCTAAAGGTCAGAGACCAAGAGAAAGACCATAAGCCAGATCACGGAAATACTGTAAAACAGTCCATCAGGTTGGAAGTCGGTTACGCAACAGCTCTGACTGGTTGATTTTAAGGAGTGGAGGTCGCTGTGGTGACATTTTGATGGCGGTCATGGTATTTGCTGTACAGTGCACAACATTTTAAGGCGGGTAGGCCACTGTGTGCAGGTGTGATGGTCTACATTTGAAAAATCCCCAGAAATAACTAATTTGGGATGACACATAGGAGTTATCACCTCCTACTGGCAGACCAATGCCCATTTGCAGACCAGTTTTGAGTAACATTGTGCTGCACACAGGGACAACTGGCACTGAAGGTGTCCTTTGAATGTTTTAGATGAGTTGTGAGTTACTGGGGCATTTAAGTCATCTTAACTATAAATGTCATTTTTGTCTGTCTGTCACTTTGACTGTGTGTGTCCACCTTCCTTGTAACGCTTGTAACGGACAAACTATTGGGTTTGCATGTTAACAAAGTACAGACATACAATAATCTAAGCCCCCACATGAAGACTTGCTATTTGTTTTTACCCTTGTCCCAGTCCAAACTAGGAAAATCAAACTTTGTACAGTGTACACTGAGCCAGTAGTTACTACTATAGAGTCAGTTGATACTACTGTAGTCAGTAAACACTCATATAGAATCAGTAGATACTATTGCAGAGTCAGTAGATACTACTATACATAATAGAGGTTTTTGGGTTAGATCGCGCAAATATATGTGCCATTAAAACCCGCCACCACCCGACACAGCCAACTAGTAAGGGTTGTCACGTAAACAGAACATGCCAATTCGTCACTAGTATAGCACACCGGTTTGTTGGAGAGCCAAGCCACAACATTTACAATCTGAGTACGACGTTTCGCCAGTAATTACAACTAGCTTCATCAGGCGAAAGCCAGATTTGTGGAGAAGTCCTCCTGTTTCGTTCCTTACATAGAGGAGTAGATGTGGTGACCACGCTTCTGCGCTCTTGCAAAATGTGGGGGGGGGGGGGGGAATTACTGAGGCAACGTACATTATGCATTTCAATTATGGGAGCCCTTTGAACTTGTCCTTCCTGTCTATTGTATTTATTAAAAGAGCCGTACCAACGGTAATCCCTATTGAAGTATGCTGCCCTTTGTAGGCATGCATTTAAATAATGTATTGATGATTCGCTTCCACACAGCACTAAGGCGGTAGCTATCTGAACGGTTAAAGTTATTTTGATTTCTTTCAATTTCGATAGATTTTCTAATTAGTCTTGGTCAGTAGTAGCTAGTTTTACACAAAACTTCAACATGATCAAAATCAATTGAGTGTCCTTGTTGGCACGCGTGTTTTTGCTACTGCTGACGGTTGTATTTGGGAGAATTTAATATTTGTCTGATGTTCTTTTAGTCTCGTGCTGATCATTCATCCTGTTTGCCCAACATAACATTTACCACACGTGCAGTTAATCCTGTACACACCTTCTGTTGATAGCTTCGGTAATACATGTTTTGTACCAGATATTAATTTCTGTATTTTATGTACCGTGCCAAATATTACACTGATGTTTTGTTTTTCCAAACATCTGGCCAGTTTATCAGTTACTCCCGCAATGTACGGTATTTTGATTACTTGGGCAGTTTCAATGCTCTTGTTATTTGATTTGGTTTTGGTATTCAATGCCCTGTTTATTTGTGCATCATTGTAACCATTCATTTGCAGCGCTTCTTTAACATGTTGAATTTCACTTCTCAGACTGTCACCATCTGACACTTTCTTAGCTCGATGAATGAGCGTCTTGATGAGAGCAGATTTCTGTGCGGAGTGATGGTGTGACTGCATTCAGATAGGCGTCAGTATGCGTTTTCTTCCGGTAAACACTGTATGTTATTTTACCATTTCTACCCTGTCCGAACAAAATATCCAGAAATGGTAGAGTTCTGTCAGCTTCCACTTCCATGGTGAACTGTATGGATGGGTTTTGCGAGTTGAGATGATTTAGAAATGCGTTCAGTGTATCTTTGCCGTGTGGCCAGACCACCAATGTGTCATCCACATATCTAAACCAAGCAAATGGTTTAGTGTGCTTTAAGCTATTGCTTTTGTTTCAAAAGCTTCAATGTACAAATTCGCTATCACAGGAGACAAAGGAGAGCCCATTGCTGCTCCTTCCTTCTGTTTATAGAAGTCACCTTGCCACAAGAAGTAAGTGTTCTTTAGACAGTGTTCAGCTAGTCTTTGGATATATTTGGCTAAACCTTTGTTCGTTACCAGAGTGTCGAGTAATTAAATTGACTCGTTGACCGGAACCCTCGTGAACAGAGAGGTCACATCAAAACTTAAAATAATATCATTATGGTTAAGCTTAATATCTTGAATTATATTTACGAGATGTTTAGAGTTTTTGATGAACGAAGAGTTCCTTCCGATATATGGCTGTATTTGTTTCATTACATATTGTGCCCATTTGTACATGGCATAGCCTATTGCACTAACAATGGGTCTTAATGGTACATCAGGTTTGTGAATTTTTGGTAGCCCATAAAGTCTTGGTGGTTTTTATGCCCTTGGTTTGATCATGTATTGCACTTCCATGGGAATTAATGACTTGGCAATGATGGCCGTTGTTTTAAGTTCCAAGGTGCTGGTTGGGTCTCGTTTAATTTTAAGGTAGGTACCTTCATCGAGTAAATATTTTATTTTATTGTTTACATGACAACCATTACTAGTTGGCTGTGTCGGGTGGTGGAGGGTTTTAACGACACATTTATATGTTTATGCAATCTAACCCAAAAACCTCTATTATGGATGACATTGGTCGTGAAAGCCTACGTGTTAAATATATACTATAGTCGGTTGATACTATTGTAGAGTCAGTTGATACAACTATAGAGTCAGTAGTTACTACTGTAGAGTCAGTAGTTACTACTGCAGAGTCAGTAGATACTACTGTAGAGTCACTTGATAATACTGTAGAGTCAGTCGTCAGATATTACTATAGAGTCAGTAAATACTATTGTAGAGTCAGTATATACTACTGTAGGGTCAGTGGATACAACTGATTCTATTGTATTGAGAGTGTGTTGGTATATATACCTACAAAATAAAAAATGGTGGGGGGGGGTAAAACATTTTGAGCGAGGGCAGTCGACAATTTTTTTAAACCTGTTGGATCAACCTTTTACCCCCACTGTATAAAACGTTTTGATTCAGGCCTTCTGAAAGGCTCTCATAATGGAATGCCGGGCTTTTATAATAGCTTAGCATTTGTGTATGTATATGTTCCGTTTTTTTAAAAGAAGACAAGTTTTGAAATATATATGTTTTCCCCGGGCAAAGCCGGGTACTTCCTGCCAGTGTAATATAAATGCAAATTATTTTAGAAATGTACATTATCGATACCTAATGAAAGTGATACTAGATGGGAACACACTCTGGATGCCTTTTGTATAAGAAACATATTTGGTAGCGCATCTGAGTGGATGTATTTATAGAAATTAATTGACGAGGGTGCATGTATGTTAGTTGAACTTCTTTCGCACCATACGTAGCTAACTGCTCATCAGAGGTGTGGGGGGAAACATGGTGGGGAAATGGTTTCATGTGAAAACCTGATTACAAACATTACAAGTGGTATTGGTGGCAGGTATTTATTCAGGAAGTTCTGAAGTGGTGTAAAGCCTCAATGATTATTTCCTGACTTTCACTGCAGTAGTAAATAGTGGCAAGATAAACATTTGGGTGGGGTGATTTGCAACATACAAGCTCAACCAAGGTTTTCTGATCGCATAATTCCAGCAAGACGTGCACGAAAAGCAACGGATTAAGCAACTAATAAAGGAAAGCATGGAAAAGAGCATTCAAAATAAACACGAGAAAACAACAGCATATACAATACTCTTAAAAAAAACTCACACATTTAGGGTTACTCTGTAACATAAACTACGAATACATTTGTAATACACTTAACTCAAGATTCATCATGATTAGAACTATGAATAACATAACTTAAAGAGGATGGAGGTTATGTTTAATAGACTGTCTGGAGGAACAATTTGCTGTAGCAAGTCCACTGACAATGTGCTTGTAAAACAATATGAAGCCCATGCAAAGGAACACGATTCTAATTAAATGAAGGGGCGAGAAGTAAACAGAATGATTATTCACGATTGGAATGCAAAGACTTCGGATGTAAAGTTAGCAGGCATGATACTGGGAACATACATGGCAGCCAAAACAGGGGAACACGCATGAGCAGATGAGAAAAGAACATGTAAGGGTCATCATGTCAGCAACGTAAGATGAATCATAGTTCCATGACACCATGAGCAATGGCATTAATGGTGACTCAAGAGACCAGGTTACCTTCCATGTTGACAGCAAAAGGGTCTGGCAAAGGACTGTCACTCTCGTAGTAGCTGCATCCAATGTCTCTGTGGCCCGCTGGTGTCTCGCACGGCAAACGATCCGATGCGGGAGGGATCTCCATGGGTTGGCACTTGCAAGGCACTTGTCCAACTGTACATTCCCATTGGGCTCCGCCAGAGGCGAGGCAGCCTTCCAGCCAGTCGCAGATCACGCGGCAGCTTGACTCGTTCGGCTGCACCGTGTTGAGAAAGACAATTTCCACCACTGCCTCTCCATTCCCATCCAGCGTCGACCACATCTTTTTGACGCTTGCCGGAGTCAGAGTCTTCCAATGTCGAGAGGGTCCGGCCTGGGAAATGCCAATTCTCACTTGCACCGAGTGTTTGTAATCCCACCAAGTGAAAAGCGGGTGCTTGTAAGATTCCGAGTCACACAGCTCCATGACGTCTCCATAGTCTGCTCCGTGAGCGGTCTGATTGTCCTTTTGCTGATTGTAATCCAGGGAATTGACTTTTACGCTGATGCTGTTGCAAATCTTCGCATTGGCAGTTGTGGCCCTTAGAAATATTGAGTAGACAGCGGGATCAGGGTTAAGTACCGTCCACACACAGTCCAAGGCGTTCCTGTGCGGCAGTTCCTTTGAGGAGATGTGGCCGTGAGTCAGGTCATGGATGACAATCGAACACGCCGACTCTTTTCCAGCTCCTAATTCAGGGCTTATCGTCGCCAGCAGTCCGTGGAGTGTTAATGTCCACAAAGCTAATATCCTGTCAGAACTCATTCTTGGGCATCGCACCTCCACATAGAAAAAGAAACACACGGTCACATTTGTGTTCCATCAACACACACGTATCACAAATATGTAATTCTCAAGATTACCCAAAAAATCCCCCGCAACATCAGTTCTCTACAAATGTTTTGCTTCAGTAGAACAATGCGTTTTTTGATGCCAAAATATAACATTTGCTGCGATTAAATTAAGAGCACTCTATTTGATAAAAACAAAAATTCATATCGCGTGAGTCTTACAATTGCGACCAAAAGCAATTCACGTAAAAAAATAACAACATTTCAGAGCAAGCAAAAACACATTCACAAGGGGTCAGAAAAGTCGCGAAATTCTTGTCGAACGATTGAAATGTATCAAGATGCAGAAGTGACGAATCAATCTGACAACATTTGCAGGTGTAATATAGTTTGTCACCAGCTAACCAAATTCAATCGAAAAAATACACATGGTGACCTTACATAAAAATACACCAACATTATGTCTAATATATTATGTGTGCATTGTTTTCAGATTGTTATTTACACTAAAATCTATTTACCCTAAAACTTAACAGCCCACACAGATAAAATTACAAAAAACATATTTGTCCGCCATTGCTTTACCGCATCGTGCTACCAAGAGTGGTGAGGCAAAACGCATCACTCACACACTCACCTACTCACCCACCCATCCACTCACGCATCCACCCACCCACTCACGCAACCACCCATCCACTCACGCATCCACCCACCCACTCACGCATCCACCCACCCACTCACGCATCCACCCACCCACTCACGCATCCACTCACGCATCCACCCACCCACCCACTCACGCATCCACCCACCCACTCACGCATCCACCCACCCACCCACTCACGCATCCACCCACCCACTCACCCACCCACTCACGCATCCACCCACCCACCCACTCACGCATCCACCCACCCACCCACTCACGCATCCACCCACCCACTCACGCATCCACCCACCCACGCATCCACCCACTCACGCACCCACCCACCCACTCACCCACTCACCCACCCATTCACCCACTCACGCATCCACCCACCCACTCACGCATCCACCCACCCATCCACTCTCACTCACCCATCCACTCTCACCCACCCACCCATCCACTCACCCACCCAACCATCCACCCACTCACCCATCCACTCACCCACCCATCCACTCACCCACCCACCCATCCACTCACCCACCCACTCACCCACCCATCCACTCACCCACCCACTCACCCACCCACTCACCCCCCACCCACTCGCCAACCCACCCACTCACCCACCCACCCATCCACTCACTCACCCACCCATCCACTCACCCACCCACCCATCCACTCACCCACCCACTCACCCACCCACCCATCCACTCACCCACCCACCCATCCACTCACCCACCCACTCACCCACCCATCCACTCACCCACCCATCCACTCACCCACTCACCCACTCAACCACTCACCCATCCACTCACCCACTCACTCACCCCACTCACCCCCCACCCACTACCAGCCCCGGCTGCATTCACTCGACTCCTGTCATCGGCGTTCCTGTTTGAAAATTGATCTCTCTTGATTGAAAACTAATTTCTCTAAAACAGCTTTTGGTGTTTAGTTGTGTTGTCCTTGCCGCATACAACATACATAATGATGATTGAGAAGGTACGACTGATCACAGTCCTCGGCATCTATTCTCGCTCATTATAAGGTGACAACCCTCACTCCATCATCTGAACCCATGCCCCTGTCTTTCACAGTCAACCTAACATGTTTCTCTTGAGCTACAATAAACTGACTAAAGCTGCCCACTCACACGAGGGTTCACGCAAATTAGCACAGTTAAGGCCCGAGCTTAATGCACCAAAACAAGATTAAACTTTTCTGTGACCAATAAAAGCAATTATAAAAAAAATATTTATGACGGGTGCATTATTCCCAGCTTGTACTACGTCATCGGTTGTTTTTCCCTCCTCATGAAATCCCCAAGATATTCCTGGATTCCTGTCACGCATACTTTGTAAATGTCTTTTAGGTTAACCCTCTGTATGACAAAGAAGATGATGTTAAATTATTGGGCAATTAATTTAACTCTGCAAACGCCAACAATACATAAATCCCATAATACTTCAATTATAATGTTTGGGTCAAATACCACGTAGACGATAAAGTACATTTTAAAACTTGTTTTTCATTCAGTGACAAAAAAACCAAGCTTTAGTGGAACGCGTAATGGCCTTGGGTTATTAGGAACACAAATATTATTATCTCCATATATATATGCCAAAGTTGTGAATATGTGTCTGTTCAAAATGTTTAGTGTACTTCCCGACATGCAACAAACTGCAAATTTGCCATGTGGGTACTTTCCAGACTGCACACCATGCAAACATTATAAAAATAGACTTTTGTGTTTTTTGGGGGGGGGAGGGAGCTCAATGCATTAATTTTTTTGCACGGAAAATGAGCTGTGACGTCGAATCTGTCACGTGACCCGCGCATGTGGAAGCGTAACGCATTGTAGTGTAGTGGGTAGCGCGCTGTGTGTGTGTCTGTGTGTTTGTCTGTGTGTGGGTCTGTGTGTGTGGAAGCGTAACGCATTGTAGTGTAGTGGTTAGCGCTACGCCACGCTACAAACCCGGCGACCCGAGTTCGATTCCCGCTCACGGCCACCACCGGTGACGATTATTTGAACCGGTCCTGGGCCTCCCCTAGGTCGACTCAGCCTTAAACGAGTAACTGGTGTGGTGTGAACATCCCCACTGGGGAGACAAAGGCGGCCGGGCGTGGTGGATCCAAGTCCCGGGCGAAGCCAGGTAGTACAGCTAGTATATCATATACTGGTAGGAATGAAGTTGTAAACTGAGTGTACCAGCCTGCAATAGATTCATGTGTCCGTCCGTCCCCTTTCAATACTTTAACGAAGTGAAATCTCGTGCTGTTGGGGTGTAAAATCAGCAATAGACAGCGCAGAGACTTGTCCTACCGGCCCACCCAGCAGGGACCTGTTAAAAGGGACATTTGTGAATGTGTCTGTTCAAAATGTTTAGCATACTTCCCGACATGCAACAAACTTGAAATTTGGCGTGTGGGTAGTTTCCAGACTGTACACAATGCAAAAGTATACAAATAGACTATCGACATTTGAGTGTTTTAAACAAAACTTTACTTTGGGCCTTCGCTCCCTCCGCAGGAGAGTATGGTGCGTAACGTTTGCGCCGTACATTAGTCACGTTTGAGATCCCCTGGCATTGAGTAAAACGCACACCATATAACGAGCAATAGCCCCCCCCGGAAGATAACGCCACAAAACTGCTATTGGAGTCAATTCAATAGGCCGTCATTTATTGTTTTATCCCACGTGAGGTAATGGCTCTTGATGTTCTGCAAAAGAGTTGTTAAGCTAATATCGTTTGGCATTCGTGAATTTACGGGAAAGGCTGAGCTCGCCTGAATTTAAGAGAAAAACAAATTAAACTTGTATTTGTGTAGGCAGTTAGTAACAATGAGCCGACTGTTTGACCTTGCTGTGCTTATAAATATGGCTCGATGTCATTTACATTCCAGAGTTGTTGGGCAGTGCCGGGTGAGTACTCAGAGGTGGAGATTAAGCCAAAGAACCACCCAGCCATAATTAATCACACTCAAAGAAAGCTAATCAAAAATACGTACAGCACTTTAATGGCAATAAGTCTTACCAATTACCAGCGCCATTCACGAAGCCAGGTGGCTTGCAGGTAAAATGCTGATTGTTCCATTGCAGTGTCCACAAAATACAGAGCATTTGTGGACATCTTTGAAGAAACCAATATGATAAATATTCTTTGGGTCTTTCAGTAAAGCCAAGTAGATAGAAAAATAATAATAAAAAATAAAATTATTAGTTTTCTATCTACGTGGCTTTAACAAAAGACCCAAAGAATATGAATTCCTGCAGTCACGAAAGCTTTAAGTCATGATATATATGTATTTTTACGAAACTCCAATATGTTACCTGCCTAACATAAAAAAAACAAGCACGGACAACATCATTCATAATCGGTTTGACATCGTCTGGGCAGTGTAGCTCCCTTCCATCTCTCCTACCTCTCCAGAATAGATGATGTGGGCCTAAAGAATAAATACGAATCGATTAATAGTTTGAACGGTACACCCCAAGTTTCTGTGTGACCGGATAAGACACCTTTTCTTGCCTGGAGCTATGCTACTCCCGGTACCAGGGCTCTTAATAATCATGATTACATTTATATAGCGCTTTTCATCAAGGATCTTAAATCGCTGTACAGGACACAGCAGAAGCAGCGGTACACTCAGCATAAAAATAATACTATAAATACATTTTAAGAATCGTTTACAAAATTAACTGAACATTTAATGAGCGGAAATGTATACATAGGTTTTAAGGCGCATTTTAAAAATGTCCACAGACTCAGAGATCGCTGATATATCATGGAAGGGCGTTGCATAGCCTTGCTGGAGTCTATTGTGAAACCATCAGGATCCACATTGGACTCCTCGACCACGTAGAGACACAGGGCAGAGGAGTAGAGTGACCAATCATGTCTGGGCAAGGTCTTGCATGTACTCAGGTGATATCACATCAACGGAATTAATCGCGCAGCCCTGGTGGGAGGCTGAATGTTCTTCGTGGGAGCATGGACATACAAAGGAGCTCGATGCCGCCTGACGTTCATGTCACTGCAGATGTATGCAAGTGAGATTAAGTGCAGGCAGTAAATTAATCATCTTATCTGCACTCAACTGGTTAAGAAGAGGAACCTTTCTCCTTAGTTATACAGATTTAGTTTTTCACGTTATTTTTTTTTATCTCTGACCTTTATCTTATTTTGCAATCAAACATCTCGACATTTTTTTACATGTACAGTGAGGGAAAGAAGTATTTGATCCCCTGCTGATTTTGTACGTTTGCCCACTGACAAAGAAATGATCAGTCTAGAATTTTAATGGTAGGTTTATTTGAACAGAGTGACAGAATAACAACAACAATATCCAGA